GAGGATATTTTTTCTTTTGATTTTTAGAGAGAGTAGGAGGGAGGGAAGGAAGGAGGTAGAGAAGGAAAGAAGGAAAGAAAGAGAGAGACAAAGAAAAACATCGATGTGAGAAAGACACATCAATTGGATACCTCCCACATGCACCCTGACTAGGGTGAGGATCAAACCTGCAACCTAGGCATGTGCCCTTGCCTGGGAATCAAACCCGAGATACTTCCTTCAGTGCATGTCTAACCATGGAACCTCATCAGCCAGAATTCCCTCTTTTCTTCTCTCTCCTGAGTTGATTTTCCCTTCTTCCCCTTTCACCCCCCTCCTTCCTTCTCTCTTCCCCTTAACTGTTTCCCCTCCTCTCTCTGAAGCTTGTTGCTATTGAGCCCTGCTGTATTTGAAAGCATTGTTCTCAGGGAGCGTTCTTAATCCTGAGTTACCAGCAGACTCATCATTATAGCCTTCTCGTCCTAATAAGCCTGTGTTTAAAAGCCTTGTAACTAAAGGCATAACATTGTCTTGGTCATTATAAAAATCTACTACCACTTAATGATGCCTGCTCTGCACTATGCAAAGTGCTTTATGTTGGCAATTTCTTTTTTTTTTAAAAATATTTTATTGATTTTTTATAGAGAGGAAGGGAGAGGAATAGAGAATTAGAAACATCGATGAGAGAGAACCATCAATCAGCTGCCTCCTGCACACCTCCTACTGGGGATGTGCCCACAACCAAGATACATGCCCTTGACCGGAATTGAACCTGGGACTTTCATTCCGCAGGCTGACGCTCTAGCCACTGAGCTAAACCAGTTTCAGCTATGTTGGCAGTTTATTTCATCTTCACAATAGTCACTTGAGGTTGATGATGGTGTCTGGTGTCCCTACTTTACAGATGACAGAACAAGACTGGGTTAGCTAACGTGTCCTAGATCAACGAGGTGACAGTTGGTAGAAAAAGAAATGGAAAACCATATGCCTTTCATATCTGTTTTATAAGCAACAGCAAGTATGTGATCCAGTTAAGTTTTCATGTTCATTTTAGTTAATTTGAAGCCTCAGCACTATGTAAAATAGATCAGGGTGACTTTTCTGAAACCCAGGAAGTCTGAATTATTTATCTGTTTTTGGTACATCATCCACATAGACCAGTTTCTTCAACATTACTTATTCTAGAGAAGGATTATGTAAAATTATTTCAAAACATTGTTTCCTGATGTGCTTTTTCTGCAGATAATGTACTCATAATGTCTTAATTTAAAAGTGACCATTGACCTGTTAGTCTGCTGTCTTTTAATGGGTTTGTTCAGAAAAGTGCGTGTGTGTCCACTGGGATTGGCCCTTCGGTGCACTTCAGCTGCTGACAAGGCATAGGGATTTTCTTCAGCTTTTGATTGAGAGCCTGGTGAAAAATTAAATGCTGGGGTTTAGATATTTATGTTTAGCCTGAAGACACAAAATGTGAATAAGCCAGTTATTGTAGTTTGAATTTTCCAAACTTTTTCTCTCAAAGGCCTATTCAAGTTCCTGTTTTCACTTTTCAGTGAAAGCTCTTAGATTTTTTCACTTTTCCAGTCCCAATCAACATTCAGGTGTTAGATGACTCAATGGTAGATGAAGTATCAATATTTAAAAATATGGCACCTCTTATTAGTTTTGCTTCTGACACATAGGATCTTAGACAAATCATTTTGCTTTCATGTTTCTTGAAATTCAAAATTATGAAAGTTACTCCTTTATTACAATCTGGGAATACTAGCAGTATTCATTGAAATAAAGGTGCTGTTCTCAGTAAGATAGTTTTGTGTTTTTATTTAGCATTGAGATGCTCTCAACTACACCTCTAACTTGTTAGTCACTTCATAGAGAGTTAGAGATACCAGGAGCAATGCCCGTGCATCTGTATGCTCCAGCAATGGGTGTCAGCCTGGACTTTGGTAGTTCTCAATGGTTTAGATACATTCCCAAGGTCTGACTAATGTCTACTATGACCAGGTTGTGCCTTTAGCTATAAAAGGGAAATTGGTTAGATTACCTTGAGTGAACATCATTATTCAGCAGTCTAGTTGTGTGTGTGTGTGTGTGTGTGTGTGTCTGTGCGCGCGCGCATGTTTAAGCAAAAACAACAACAACAAAAAACAATAACAAACAAACAAAAAACCCAAACACTCAAACTTTTATTTTTTATTTTGGAATAATTTTAGACTTGTAGAAAAATTGCAAAAATAGAGTTCCCATAAGCTATTCACCCATCTTTTTCTTATGTTAACATCTTCCATAACTACAGTTCAGATATAAAAATCAGGGCATTAACATTGGTATAATATTATTAAGTAAACTACAGACTTTATATTTGAATTTGATCAGCTTGTCTACTGCTGTCTTTTTCCCTCTGCTCCAGAATCCAGCTCAGGATCTGACAGTACACTTGGTTGTTGCATTTCTTTAGTCTTCTTTCATGTGTGAAGGTTCCCCAGTCTTCTGATCTTTCAGTCCTTTGGCCATTGGGGATCGTTCCCTGTGTCTCTCTGATACTCTTGAAGATTATTGGTCATATTTTTAAAGGATGTCTCTTAATTTGGGTTTGTCTAATGATACCGTGTGATTTGGCTGTGTTAGGCATTTTGGGGCAGGAATATCACAGCAATGGTGCCATGTCCTTCTCCGCACCACGCCAGAGGTCAATACCAGTATGTAGCGTTACTGCACGGCTGGTGTGGCTCACAGTTGAGCATCGACCAAGAACCAGGAGGTCACAGTTCGATTCCTAGTCAAGGCACATGTCCAGGTTGTAGACTTGATCCCCAGTAAAGCCTTATTAATGATTCTCTCTCATTATAATGTTTCTATATCTCTCTTCCTCTCCCTATCTCTCTGAAATCAATATTTTAAAAATTTATTATGTTTTATTACTGTGATTACCTGGTTAAAATGGTGTCTGTTGGGTTTCTTCACTACGAAGTTGCTATTTTTCCCTTTATAATTAATAAATATCTTAGAAGAAAGAATTTATCAGTATGCATGCACTGTTTTTCCTTAAACTCTCACCACTAATCTAGTACCCGTCAATGGACTAGCCTGCAGTAGTTATTCCTGTGGTGTTTGCCTATGATGCTTTTTCTATTACTCTCATTTTTTCTACATTTATTAACTGGAATTCCCTAAAGAAGACCTGTTCCTTCTTTCTGTTTTTTTTTTTTTTTTAATATATTCAATTATTTGTATTAGTGTGGATGCCTTGGTGTTTATTTTACTCTGAGTTATAAATCTGATATGAGCCTTATTTGGTTGTGCAGTTTGTTCCAGCTCTGGCCATTGGGAATCGGCCCCTAGGTCCCTCTGACACACCCCATCCTTACTTAAGCACTTCCTCTCTGCCAGCACAGGATGCTCCAGGCTCATCTTATATTTTCTGTCTCAGCTGTGGAACCAACCACTTCTTCAGGGAGCCCCAGATCCTTTTAGTGGTTATTAAATTGATTTTCAACAGAAGTGCCAAGGCCATTTAGAGAGAAAAGAAACATCTTTTCAGCAAATGATGCTGGAACAACTAGATACAGATACAAAAAAGGAAAAAGAACCATGACTCTTTCTTACCTCATACCATACACAAAAATGGACTTGAAATGTATCCTAAGACCTACGTGTAAAAATTGGCACCATGAAATTTCCAGAAAAGAGCACAGGAGGAAAATATTTGTAGCCGTGGAGTAGGCAGAGATTTACTAGAAGGACACAGAAAGCATGAACTATAACAGAAAAAAAAAGGATGAACTGGAATGCATCAAAATGGAAACTTCTGTTCTTCAAAAGGCTCCATTAAGAAAATTAATTCAGTCTACATGCTGAGAAAATGTTTGCGATATAGTTATCTAATTAATGGACTTGTGTCCACAAACATAAAGAATATTGAAATCAATAGGAGACAGAAAACCCAATTTTAGCATATCTTTGAACAGACATTTCACAAAAGAAGATATAAAATGGCCATTAAGTACATGCAGAGATGTTAAACGTCATTAGTCTGCAGAGCAGCACATACCACTGATACAGATAAACTGACAAAGACTGGTGGTAATGCCAAACATATGTACTTCTTACACATTGCTAACCGGAATGCAAAGTGGCACAACATGCTGGAAAATAAGTGAGGCATTTTTTTTTATAGCAAAGGAGATTTATTGAACAAGTACAGACTCCCACCTGGGAAGAGGGAAAGAGTCCCACAGAATGGACTCCCACCTGGGGAGGGGGAAAGGTCCCCGTGAGGCATTTTTTTTATCAAGTGAAATATACCTTTAACCATGTAACCAGTCAAGTCCATAACATAAGCTCACAAAAAAAGATTTGCACTCTTAATGTCCAAAATAGCAACATTACAATAACCAAAATTATACACTACCCAAATGAACATTAGCAGATGAGTGTGTAAACACATGCTGGCATGTCCATATAATGGAATACTACTTAGAAATGAAAATAAATTATTAATGCAGGCGGCACATGGATGAATCTCAGAAACATGATGCCAAGCAAAAGAAGCAGATTGAAAAGTGCATATTCTTTATGATTCAATATATATGACATTTTAGGATAGGCAAAATTAATATCTGCAGTGACAAAGCAAGTCGTGGCCAGGTGGCTCAGTTGTGTGGAGTGTTGTCCCACACACCAAAAATTGCAGGTTTGTTTCTCAGGTTGCAGGTTCATTCTCCAGGTGCGTAAGGAAGGCACCTGATTGACGTTTCTCTCTCTCATGGATGTTTCTCTTTCTCTCCCTCTTCTTCCTCTCTAAGATTAATTAATCATATCCTCAGGTGAAGATTAAAAATAAAGAAGTAAAATAAAATAAAAAGACAGAAAATCAGTGGTTACCCAGAAGAAGGGTTGGGATTTACTAGTGTGATGCCTAGTACTGTTAGAGGCTTAACAAGTTTTATTGTCACTGGAGTCTTCCTAGATGTGTGGTCATCTTTTGATTTCCTTAATTTTGTTCTTCTGTTTGTTTTCAGGTGGATCTATCTTAATGACCAGAATTTATGCATCCCTGCCAGTTCCTCTTTTGTTTATGGAGCTGTACCCATAGGAGCCAGTATTTATGTTATCGGAGATCTTGACACAGGTAAAAATGTTATAGTGATTTTTGTCAGGGCTGTTTCCTAGTGATTCTGAGGCATGTTCTCTCATCCTTGCTATTCTGTGGGTTTAGGTACCAATTATGACTACGTGCGTGAGTTTAAAAGGAGCACAGGAACCTGGCACCACACTAAACCACTCCTTCCATCTGACCTCCGCCGCACTGGGTGTGCAGCCTTACGTATTGCAAATTGCAAGCTTTTCCGCCTGCAGCTTCAACAAGGCTTATTCCGTATCCGTGTTCATTCACCTTGAAGAGGAAGCAGAGCTGAAGCAGCGCTCCTGACCAAGCACCGTAAGGTGGCGTTATGCGAGGGGGACAGAGATGACAGCCAAACCTTGCTCTGCGTGCCGGGCTTTGTGTGGTAACTCTGGTGGTTTTATAATGCTTAGACGCTTGAGCTTCAGCTCTTGTTTGGGAGAACATGTAACTGTTGAAAAACTGCCTGGGAGGAATTATTTCCTCCAGTCAGATGTGTCTATAGACAAATGGAGGCTAGTCGGTGTCAAAAGGAAGAGGGAAGTGAGAATTGGCATAATGGAAAATACTAAAGTTAAAATAAGGTGCATTTTCCCTGAAGGGAACTTGTATCTGACTACTGTGCACTTGGCTTTAGTAAACAAACAAACAAAAATCCGTATATGCAAATCAACATACCCAAATATACCAAGACTGCTTTCTTCTGCACTTGGAAGGAAATATTATGCCTAAACCCTGCCCAACAAATTAAGGATTGTGCCTAAAATGTTAGATTGGACTGTATGCCGGCTAGTCTCCATTTACTATTAGTATTCTGTGCTAAGAATATTTTTTAAACTATATTATGATGAATTGAAACTAAGATAAAATTTCTGTTTGGTGACATTCTATCTTAGTTATGTAGACTCAATAAATGAATGAGTCAAGTTGCAGCCCTCATGTGACTTTAAAGGAAGTTGCTAATTTCTGTGTTAATTTAGATTAAGGTACGTCTTGCCATACTTTCTGGGGTGGAGTTGGAAAGGGTCTCAGCAGTGCCACTCATCCTTCAGCTCATCAGAACTGTTTTATAAATCAGAAGCCATTAGAGAGTTGGAGATTTTATAAAAGAAAGGCCTGAGTCATCTGCTGTGACTACAAAAACATACAAAAAAAAAAAAAAAATCTGTCCAGGCAAAATATAAAGGGATCAAAACTTTTTAAAAATCTGCCTGAAAGCACACACAGTCTTGTTTACCGCTGTTTAGGATTTGAAAACTTGTCTTAGAATGCGAACATGTGTTCAGAATCTCGTCTTTGTAGTAGGATTTTCTCAATGCCGTTCACTAGTAAGAGTTTTAGACAAATTACGATAAAGTTTGGCTGGTAGAATACACTACCTCAACCTAACTTCATTCTGTTCATAGTAGAGCAAATTCATCTTTTCCTCCTTTCCTATCTCTTACTCCCATGCCACTCTACCCGCTTCCTATGGAGGGAAAGTCTATCATTAGTAGCACTTATCTTTAAAGGTACTTTGTTTCCCATTTAAATTACACCACCTGAGTGTGAAATCAGGGACTTCAAAGTGCTTGATTGCTTCATCATTTGAATTTATGCAATATCAGGTTTCTAGCCAATTGAATATAGAATTCTTCATTTTTAATTGTTTTCTACAGCTTTTTCTCTCTCTTAGAATATGGCTGTATGCACAGCATTTTGTCATAGAGATTAATGTATAAATGTATCTATCCTCTGGTTATAAATTTGAGACCAGGAATTTTTTTTAGGAAACTGCTATATGGAACGTTTGTATGTTGTTAACATGCATATGAAATGTCGCTTGTGTTTTCCCAACATGCACAGAAAAAAGAGTGAGAATTTTTGTTATGTTTTTAATACCCATTAGAAGTCAACACAATGCTATAAAAGTTGCTGAAAGGAGCCTTGCCCGTGGGGCTTTTAAAGAATGTTGTAAGTGGCACATTTACTCTCCATTCTGGCAGGAGAGTTGGTAAAAGAAGGTATGAGGTTTTTATACAGTGTCAGGGCACGAGGCCAGGTTTGCCACACATTAATATAGCAGTCAAACTCAGTCTGTAAATCAAAGCCAGTCTTTTTTCTTTGTGTTGTGTACCAGTCAGCTGTTGTCCGCACACTTTTCCAATGATACTTTGGATATTTATTAATCAAAGCTCCATGGCCACTGCAAAGAAAGAAAACTTGCTTTTTACAATTAGATATCAGTTTTAGGATTTGAAAACTTGTCTTAGAATGCAAAATTGCTGAAAAAATGAGTTTTCTTTGGTAAAATATCTTGTACAGAACACAACTTTGACATTCGGAAGCTGCAGTTGAGGTACATTAAAGTGGTAATTGATATCTTATTAAAGCCATGACAATCAGCAGTTCTCTATTTTTTTTAAATTTCTGAAATTTAAAATTCTTCCCAGTCTATGCCAGGCTTTTTCCAAGGAGACAGTTCATTGTCCAGGTGTGAATGGGTCCCGGATGCAATATTTTCAGTGCCTGCATGACTTGGTCAATTAATTTTATAAAGTTTTTTTTAATTCAGTTTGATGACACTATTGCTGCAGAAATTAGGGAATGTTTTATAAAATAAACTTGCCACGTAATATGGGATGCAACAACTAACAAAAGCTGTTAAGTGCCAAACTGTTTTTTACTATATAAATATAAAAATATTATGTTGGAGTGTAGGGATGTATTTAACTTTATTATGTTCCAAAATTAACCATGACTTTTTTTGTAAATTAGTTATTTCAGTATTGTGAAATAAATTTTAACTTATTTCATGCAGGTTTGTGTTTTAACATTCCACTTATGACTTGAAACATCTTTTCTTGATAAATTTTTGATACTTCTTTTTCCATACAGCACTTTTACCAGGCGTATGTTGGAATTGGCGGCTAGGGGTAGATCTTAAAATTTTAAATATAATATCTTGGTGGAAAGTGCAATTTATTTTCATTATCCCACCAACAGAAGGAAAGTTGTCTCAGGTTAGAATAAGTGAATATTTAAAAGATCTCTCCTACCTACAGTCTAAAGTAGATTTTTTTTTTTTTTTGTTTCTTTGTTTAACACATCCAAATGCAGATTTTTTCAAAGATTTTTAAGTGTTTAATTTACAGTGAAGTTTTGTGTGATTATTTTTGTGATAGTACTTATATCCTATGAGAGGAAAAATGTGAGAAGAGGGATGAAAGAGTGAAAGTGTGTGTGTGTGTGTGTGTGTGTGTGTGTGTGTTACGTGAGTGTGTGTGTGTGTGTGTTACGTGACTTGGTAAGTCTGTTTGTGTATGTTTCCTTTGAATTGTAGTCCAGACTATGTATATTACTGTCTCCTGGTGCTTCAGATAAATTCTGAGCCTGTGGCCCTTCAGTTTATACTACTGTGTTAAACTCATGTTGAGTGTAAATATTGATATATTTGTAGTTTTACTTGGTGTTTGCATTTTTTTTCTTTAATGGGATTAAAAACAATGTTTATCAACTAGTAGTTGATTTGCTAAAGATTTGGCCTAAGAAATTTCTAAATTCATGGTGTATTTCATTAATTCATTATTTCATTGCTGCGAGGAGTTAATAGCTAACAGTAGGCTTTTTTCAAACTATAACAACCAAAAAGGGACATTTGGGGGATGTTGGACAGTGTATTGTCTATATTGAAGTGTTCTATTATATTGCACTACCACTTTAATATGGCACTTTCTTCAGTGGTGCTTTAGAAGTGCCTTTTTAATCATAAGTGTGGGGGGTTCCCTAGGTAATGTGCAGGAAATACATTCTTTATGCTGACATGGTAAAAATAGGGCTGTCTGCTATGGTACCTCCCTTACTCATGGCAGTAAGTTAGGTTTTTAGAGAAACACGTTAGCTGCCTTGGTCCAGTGGGGTTCCATTTGAAGCGTTCCTACTTCAGCATCCCAAACCAGGATCCCAAAATGTTTTTCAGCAACCACTAAAAACACTGCAGTATTACTTTCTAGAACGTTGGCTTTCTTGACTCAAGAGGAGGCCTCCTGTGGACAGATGAAGACATTTGATTATTTGGGGAGAGAATAAGATGCACTTACACTGCACATTGCATCGATTTAAAGAGTGCTGGGACCCCCTTAAAAAGCACCCGGTGGAAGGGAAGGGCGAGGTTGTCCTTGTTCAGTGGCTGCCCCTCGAGCCTCCAAGCCTTGGGGGAGCTGGTGAGGGAGGAGGCTCTGATAGTGCAGAAAACCCTGCTCTGGGTTTTTTTCAACAAATTATTGAGCGCCCACTAACAATTCTGCTTGGATTTCTGGGGAGCACAGGAGTGAGGCAGATGTAACACTGCCCTTCCTCTGGATTGTAGAGTCCTGTGGGCAGGGCCCTCCCTTAATCATCTGCACATCCCAGTGTGTGCACACAGTAGGCAGTTTGACAGGTGAATACAGTATGCTGTGATCAAAGTGATGTTCTGCACCGGATGGAATAGTACCTTCTGAGAGTGACTTAAAATTTTTCTAGGTTTAAATGAGGAAGTTTGTGCACATATGGCTGGTCTTACGAAGTGGGAGACTAGCGCAGAATAAAAAATGCCAAGTGCCTGACATTCGACGCACAACTCTGTTGTCTCCACATGCTCTGTAGGATTTTTGAGACCCTCTGCTTGGCACACCTGGTAACGCTTATCCCATTTGCTGTTGGGTTATATTTACTGCTCTTTATATGGGACTCTGATCCTGGCATCTGTGTGAAAGGGTGGTGCTCCCCACTGGACGGAGAGCAGTCCAAGGCCCAGGGGGGTGCAGCTTCGCTCCCCTGCGGAGCAGCAGAATCCAGGCCTTGGGATTAGCATTTCACTCCTCAGCCTAGTAGACTATCATTTAACTTTCTAGGCCTACAAGGATTTTCATAATCATATAGTAACCATGAAACCCCCAACTATAGTTTTTGCAAGTTGTACAGATATAACATGAAAGATCTTGGGTTTTCTTTGTCAGTTAGCTATAGGAAATTTCAGAATTTACTAAAATAAATAATAAGTGTGTTTGACAGAGTAGCTACTTTTGCATTAAAGAGCTGAAGCTTCATTTATACTTTCCTTTCTTACCACATGTAATCAATAAGGGAAAAGAAATGGTGTTTTAGCATGTGGAGGAAAGTATTTTGCTAGTTTGTTAATAATCCCTGAAGTATTCTTTCTAGCCAGTTCAGAAATTATAGAAATGTCTGGTGTAAGGTGAGCAATAGCCCACTTGCCCGTATTTGAGAACATGAGCTCAGGCAGAGAGTTTGTCCTGGCTGTTGGCAGTGAAGTCTCAGTAGTATTGACCTATAGATTTTTTTGTTTTATTTTTTTTTTTTGCAGGCCAGCTGATATCTTTTAAAAATGTATTTTTCAGAAGGAATTCTATTGCTGTTTTCCTTTTAAGCATACCAACTTGGTCCCGTTGCAAAAGTCCCATTTCTATGACCTATGAGGCGCTCAGTTCTGACTATATTCTTTAAGAAAGCTTGTTCTTTCTTAATTCTGTCATTAAAGTTTTCTATGGGATTGTATTTTTAAATTCTGTCTCTTAAATATCTAATAAAGTTTTAGATAATCAAATATCTAAAACAATGTTGCATAATTATCTAGTGAGAAATGTCTCTTGCCTTCTCTGTCTCTCTCTCTCTTTCTCTTTTTAATCCTCATCTAAGGATAAGTTTCCATTGATTTTTAGAGAGAGTGGAAGGGAAGAGGAGAGACAGAG